GTGTGTGTGTGTGTGTGTGTGTGTGTGTGTGTGTGTGTGTGTTTTAATATTACAGCTGTAGCTGCATTAAAGATGCAATCAGCATTCAGGGACAGCATGGTTTCTCTGTCTGTCTTTAGTTTTTGTAGGTATCAGATCAGTTTAAAATGACAGAAAATACAAGGCTGTGWACTTCTTATAACTTCACTGCTGTACTGACCTGAGTGAAATGTACATTTGAAAACAATCCCGATTGAAAGACTCATTTTAAAGAATCCTAACAATAAACAGGAATGCACTGATTTTTTTTTTTCTATTTGAAACGATTTTTTTTATTTTTGACGAGGAACTGACATTATAACATGGTATAAAGCACAAAAAGGTTGATTTGGCATAATATCCTCCACACACACACACCCCTTTAAGATAAAAATATAGATTTACATTATTTTCTAACTGGCTTCCACACAGGGAAAATTCAAGCTGCAGTACAATAACAACCTTGGCATGCAAATTAAATGCCAAATCTATTTAAAGAACAAACTTGAGCAGGTAAAGATGTGCAAATTAAAAAAGTCAGGCTGTGAAGGTATTGAGAAAGATTCTGTTCACACTTCACAGATGAGATGAGTGTTGAAGGTAAAGTACAATTCTCCTGATTTACAACATTTACTGTAGCAGCTTGTTGCAGGTGAGAAACGTCTGGAATGAAACAAAGAGAACAAACGTGACTGAGTTTTACGTTTCCATTGTTACTGACCTCATATATGTGATGTTGTGCTTCACAATGTCGCCTCCCTTCTAAACTTGTCTAGTTTAAATCTTGGCAGATCAGTGGGATCAACTTGTTCTCTTAACCYGTGTTATTGATTTTTTTTCTGGGTACTTTGGTTTTATCCTACAGTTCTCTCACAGTTTGACCTGAGAAAACTCAGATGACAAACTAAGTATCTTAAAGAATTTAAAAAAAAAACAAGAAAAATAAATCTAACCATGTTTTGAAAAGCTTCTGTGTTTGCCCTGTCCTGGATGACTTTAGGAATATGCATGCATGGTTGGTATGTCATGTGTTTTAGACATACCTCACTGTTTGTCTGTTAACTACTGGGACAAGAACCTCACCCCTCCATCCCCACTTATCCCTGACCCTTACAGGTCCCTGAAGAAAACAAAACAATTTACCTGATTAATTGTTTCTGTACACTTAWATATATTCAGAATACATATATTTGTTGGCTGGAAACCAGGAAGATTTTCAAAAATTCATTACTTTTTTAGGTGATTCTACTTAAATAATACCAAGAACCTGAAATCTGTTGTAGCTTTGGTTGTAGGAAGGATCAGGGCTTCAAGGTGTGACCAACATCTGAGCAACATCAGTTAAATAATGAGTGAGAAACAGAAATAACTTGTGGACAGAGCAGAGATGATTGTAGATGTAATAATCTCAAATAACTGTAAAATTAGGAATTAGCTAAAACTGGGCCAACATTTGGATGAGACACTTAATCGCTCGATGATGTTAGAGTGCAGGAAGAAGAAAGTGACAGATTCAAAACCTTCAAAATAAAATTGGTTTGATTCCTGATTCCAGACGATTGCTGAAGATTTTTAAACTCAAGGTAAATTTGTCTTTAGTCACTCTTTAGTTCAGTTTAAACAGTAAAAAAGTGTAGACATTGCACTTAAATAAAAATCTATCAATAATACTTTGCATATATTACCAGAAATTAGTAAATTTAAAATATTTAAAGCAATGTTATTATTAGTAATACAGCAGAATACATATTTCCTGGTTTTTGGCAAACTGTGTTTAAAAAAAATAACGTGATGCAATTGCTAACACCAAACCCAAGCTAAGAAATGAAAAGTTTTAATTCAGGTGTGATTCAACCAATATTTTATCTGTCCCTTTCTGCAGATTACAAATGGCCTCTTCCCTCTGACCTTTGCCCCATCTGGATTTACCTGGATGTCCTGTTCTCCACAGCATCCATCATGCACCTCTGTGCCATCTCCTTGGATCGATACATCGCCATACGGAACCCCATCCACCACAGTCGCTTTAACTCCCACACCAAGGCTCGGGTGAAGATCATGGCAGTGTGGACAATTTCAGTGGGTAAGAAATCAACAAAATGTCACAAATTCGCACCACACTCTCTTTTTTGTTTTGCTTTGTTTTTTATCCAAGGAAACACATGAAAAGGTCCAGAGATTAATTTCAATCAAATCTTTTTGTTCGTAAACATAGGAAATTTGTTTTTAATCACTTTATCTTTATTATCACAAATATTGTAAATAAACTATGGATTTCTTCAGAGGCTGTTTCTGACAAATGCAGACACCATCAGTTTGTGTGCATGCTACATAATAACTGCTCATGTTACATATTAACATAAAAACAAAATACTTTCCTGTGCTTCTACTTTCACAAGAAAAAACATATTGAAAACAATTATTAAGTCATTAAGATTAAATTGGTTCAGTCTGACTGTCCATCAGTCGGACTCTATGCTGGATATAAATCTTTATTACTATTATTATTTTATTTACCGTTATTTAACCAGGCAAATCGCAATGAGATTGCAAATCGTTTTTGCAACGGCAGCCTGGGCCAGAAGGTAAATCTGTTTGCTGTTAACAAATTTAAAATATGTCTAATTACCATCACTGAACAAGAACATATACATTTATTTAAGTTAAGGATGTGATTAAACTCCAGACCTCTTATTTTCTAGTACTCCAGATATTTTACTGAAATAAAAGGCCAGACAGACATCAACAAAAGTGTCCGTACAACATAAATTTGTGTAAAATAGGTTTAGGTTTAGTCACAATTTGCATTTTTRTTTGTATCCCTGATTTAACTCCCACATTTTACAAGATAATTAGACACTCATGGACACCAGTGTTATTTCTGAGACAACAAAACCAGATCAGACAGATGGTTCAGTCTAACCAGTGAAGATTATTTTTATTAAAGAGACTATAAAAATCTATTTAAACCTGAGTCATCAACACAGAAACCACGTTCTTACTAAAGTACATAACTGAGTACGAAGTATTATATTTTACTTACATGTGTTGCCTTTGTTTGCATGGCCTTGTTCTTGCTACTTGGTGGGGACAATTTTTCAGGAAAATGCAGCCTTGTGGGGACCGGATGCTCCTTGTGGGGACCGA